TGAAACTATGTAAAAAAATATTTTCTTAAATATTAATACTTTTTGAAATAATGAGTGTTCAATGATAAAAAAAATCACCTTGTATACCGTAGGTGATCAATTTAAGTGCTATAAATTCTTATGTTTTTACTTTTTTAAATGACACCATAAATTTTTAATTTAAAATTTCAAGACAGAGTATTATTTAAAGTATTTCAATCTGTAAAAATTACATTTCGGACAAGAAGTGCATTAGGTAATTATAAGTGTTCTAAGTTATAACACATTAACTACTTGTCTGAAATTTGGTTCAATAGATTTGAAATACTCCGAATATTAATAATTATTATTCGCCACGTACATATTTTATCGACGGTGAAGTATAATATAATATACCAACGAGCATATCAGTACAAAATGTATAAAATAAAGTAAAAACACATTTTCCGGGCGAGAGGAGATGCACGCTCTCCCAAACAAACAGCAGTGCAGTCCAGTACCTACAATCCACATATTATAATAGGACGCAATTATCACGATGCACTCAAAACTATTTTTTTGAGCCTCAAGACTCGTTGTGGTCATTTGGATTTGGGATGGTCGAGCGGAAACGTTGTCTCTCCGAGTACGATTAGTAATTATTACCTATATACTGATTACACACAAATTATCTTTTTATAAACGCACACAAACACGAAGCTTAGGCAGCACCACTATACCTATATCATTAAATAATATAGCGTAATATAGTAATATTATTTTCTAAATATTTGTTGTATGCCGCCGACATTGTCGACGTTTAGCCGAAACATGCTGATTAAAAAATATAATCACGAAAACCTATACGTACCAGTAAATATATTATTACACAAAATAGCTAAACTGGGCATAAAACTATATTTATTTCAATTATAAAAACGTAATAATTTATTTTTTCCGTACGCGCGCTAAGAGTTCCGTGTCTCGAGTCGTCGCCGTCTCGTGACTCAAAACGACACGCGCGGCGTAGGTATCTACATCATAGGTATGTATACATATTACATTTATATTATGTAGGTATAATATAAATTACAATGTACAGTAAACGATTAGATAATAACTTCTCGCGTAGTGTATAACCAAAAAAAAAAAAATGTTCTCTAAGTAATCAAAAATCGGTCTCATGTTACCTACTACTGCATATTATCGTTGGAAAACATTACGTAATCCATGACCATAAGACTAATCGAAAAGGCCTTGACTTACAGTTGCGTCTAAAACAAAAAATGGGTTTTAGGACCAGTGTGCCAACTATGTCAATGTCCAATATTGTGCTCCTCATATTTTACGGTTAGCAAACCCCATCGTTTACCAAGATTTTGATAGTCAACTGAATAATGATCTAGATTTAATAAAAAAAAAAAAATGGCGAGCACATTTTACTTGTGAGTGTAAAACATAATTTATAGTAAACTCCAAAACATTTTAAAATATGTTTTAAGGTAATTAATGTTGGAGGGATGGTAAAATGTAGAGAGAATTTATCTACGGCCGTCCTTAAAATATAGTTACCAAGGGTGTTTAGATTATGTACACTGTATGCAATGCATTTAGTAGAGATATAAATAGCTTAAAAAAATTAAACTTTTCTGATACCAACACAAACAAGTACTTACTAGCCCGGTGGTACTTTTAACTGATATGAACCCAGTGGTGATACGAGACCCGGTGGTGATATGACGTGTCCCGGTGGTGATATGACGTGTCCCGGTGGTGATATGATTAATTTACCTATATTTTGTTAAATTTTAATCATTTTAATTCAAGGATAACCTTCATTTAAAGTAGTTCAAACATAGTTTTATAACTCGTTCAGTTAAAAGTTAGTGTATTTTTGAAATAAAATTAACTTGAAGTTAACACGTTAATCTTGAAAAAAGTAACTTATTACCTAAGTTAAAAGTTAATTTGAAAAAAAGTAATGAGTTAAAACTCAATTAAAATTAACTTAATTTTAACTTTTAACTCCGTAATAATTGAGATGGCATCAGTATTACAAAAGTCATAATTTTTATTGGTAATAAAATTAGTTTTTTTTTTTAATGAACAACTCATGTTTTTTCAGAGCTAACAAATATCAAGGAATAAATAGAACAGATGTAATAATCCGTTGGTTTTCTGAAGCAAAAGACAGGGATGGAGGAAAACAAGAAAGAATTTCTAAGAAAACAATGTCTATAATATCTTGATATTATTATATTATATTTTACTAAAAAAAATGAATATAGCAAATATGTCTACATGACTACATCTGTTTGCTTATATTGATAATTATTTGACTTTATCGTCTGATATACACTTGGATTATGTACTTAACTTATCTTATTTATTTTTTCAAAATTTAAAAAAACTTTTGACCAACCCTCAAAACATTTAACAAAATATAAATATTTCAAAATTTAAGGATCAAATTTTAGATTTTTAGATTAAATATTAATATACTGTTTATTGACAGTTAAAATACTTAATTATTATTTTTAATGTATTGGTATTCCACCTAATTATTTTGATTTAACTATTACTTTATAATAGGAGGAGAGGGTGGAAATCGCTACTGGCCACTGGCCAGGTCGATATTGTACTAAAAATTGGAAATATAAGAACAGTACTAAATATGATTAGTCATCACTATCAGAACTAGCAAAGTGGTGTAATTCCATATGTTTAACAGTAGGTACTGGTACCAATACTTACTGCCAGTAGTGATCCAGTATTCTGTATTATTATTATAAGTAGGTACCTACTTAGCCGATAGCCAGTATTGACTGTCAGTACAGCCAGTGCTTGAATGCCACTCACAATTTAAGATAGTATTATTAGATACATACGACTTTCTTAAATCCTTATGCCAGAACTTGTAAGGCGTTATCACCAGTGGCTTTCCCTTGGGGGTGGTTAGGGGTTACACCCCTCCCCCCGTCCCCTCATTTGTGCTTTAGGTACTACCGCCAAAATTAATTTAAATGTATTATTATTTATTAATTATAAGACCCTCACTACCGTCTACCATTGAACATTCCTCGGCACGCCACTGACATCACCCCAAATCATGACATTATTACTAATGGTGTAATACAGCAGATTTCCAGTTGTAGTAAACCAGTATAAGCCAGTACTGGCACAGTACTACGCCTATTGTGTATTTTAGATTCGGTTAATTGCGCTTACCTTTTAGTATTTAGTTAAGCCCCTGAAGGTATATGAAAAATATGCTTTTGTCCAATCTAATTCCATAAACATAGGATTGTCATACATTATTCATAAACTATGTATATTAAAATAATTGAAAATTAAACATTTATATTATCTGTATGTATATTATAATTTAAAAATGGAAATTTGTGTCTGTATGTTAGCTACTATTACAATAATACAATAATGACTCAAAAACTGCTATGCCGATTTTAATATAAAAGTTATATAAATAGATGCATTGATTCGGTTCACGAAAAGGAAAAAAACTTATTTAATTTTTTTTATAATTGTTAATTAAAATGTCTATGATCTTCCAAAAAATTTAAAAAGTTAATACAAGGTTCCTTTTAAATTGATCTTACTGAAATAAATTAAGAATAGTAGAGAGACGGAGAGTAAATCTACATTATTTTTTTTCTGAATACTTGAAGTTAGAGTTTTAACAAAAGTCATAAAAATTTCGAACAATTGATATTTTAGATTCTGAGTGGAACGATGGATGTATCGATTTTACTATGCGTGTTTTTTTTTTTTATTATTTTTTTTTTTTGTCTGTCATCATCTTTTAGGACAGTAAAAGTGCTTGGTTTCTTCAAAAATATCTTTTCTGATAGTAAAGTGAATCTAGTTGGTACTTTGGCGGGGTCAAAAGTATGTAGGTGATTATTTTAAAGATAAACACTAAATTTCTAGATTCTAGAAAATTGTGTTTTTACATTTTTGGAAACTTATTTTTCACACATGTAATTTTAAGTCATTGCTAAAATAATATTTTTACCATTTTGTATGGTTGTTGTTTTTTTAGTGTTTTTAAATTGTACGGATGTCAGTGTTATGTTTTCGTAACTATAGAATGTCGTATAACTCTGATATTGAATTATATGTATCTGAACTGTTGTAGTTTAATACCAAATGGGCGAATACGAAAGAATTTTGATGTTAAATTTGACTAGAATTAAAATCAAATGCACAAAAATATAACTAATATATTTTACTTTATACCGATGACGAGTTACCGGAGCTAACAATGACACGATGAGGCTTGGTATGCCGAAATAAATTATTATTATACATTTATTAAAGTAATCCGAAAAAGTTACGTATGGTTGTACTCCATGATGATACGAAATATACGTATAAGATGACACACTCATATTATGTTTGTATATTGTATAACATTTTAGTATTTTACGGTATAAAAATACGAATACCAGTAAGTGTCTGAATTTCGAGCTTTTACCGATTGACATTGGTATATATGGACTTTCAATATTATTATAAATCGTAGTTCAGGATTTTACAAATGAGAAATGATTGATTTTAGTACAAACAATCTATCAATACAAAAGTTCGAATTATAAAAATAAATAAATTGATATACAATTATTTTGTAATTTGATTTTATCTGTACCTACTTAAATAATAGTAGAATTGTATTTCATTATAATATTATTATTTATTATATACCCTGTGCATTTAAAAGAGGTGCAGCATTACTCGCATTAGCAGACATCGATCCAACCTACCAAATATAAATTTGTTTTGGTAAATTGTTGGACCATTTTCAAGATTTGTTGAAATTTATTCTCACCGGGAAGCCAAATCTAACTTTTACTTTTTCAGAGCTATAGTACTACAACCGTTGGTTGAGATATTTTTTTCACCCTATATAAGCCAGTTTTTCTCGATTTGATTTGATACCATTATTTTAATTTTGAATTTAAAATACGTGTGGATTTAATATTTTTTAGGTATAATTTGATTTAGATTTTACCAAGGTATACATTTTAATTATTTGTTATAAGCGTCGATCCCGTCTCATTTTCGCGGATCCGAGGCTTGGAGAGTTCTAGAATGCGGAGCGACGGCTTGTAAGCAAGCGACAATGGCTTCACCGAAAAACAATTCTTTTCTTCGACCACTTTCGGCATTGTGCGGTGCTTGGCCAATTTCTTAATGTGGTCCGACGCTTCGTACTTCAAAGAAGCACGTGCCACACCTGTTGAAGTTTTTGTTCGTGTTGGTGGTGGCGGCGGCGGGTTTACTACTTGATTTTTTCCAATGGCTACAATTTTGCGATTTCTTGACCACGGGATCCGGTGGTCAGATTCTGCGAAATAACAGGTATAGACAGTATTGTTACCATATAAGTACCCTGACACTGTGCTGGGTACTAACACAGTATATTATAATAATGCTAACTACATCGCCCAAGTCGTTTCCAGTGCCAAAGATTTGACTTTTATAAATATATTAATTGTATAAAAATGTATGAGTAATATTTCTACTTATAATTATAAAATCGAAACAATGCTGAAGTTTAAATAAGTAAACAAAAAAATATTCTTTTTTGGGAGCTGAAAAAAATGTATGTGTGAGCTACCCATTAGCTACTTATTAAAAAGGTTCATAAAATAAGCTATAAACACCCTCAAAGTGTCAAAGAATCCATTAACCAGTAGGAAGGTAATAATTGTTTTATGTAACAAATTAACTATATGAAATTAATTACATAATCTATCTACTTAATTATTCAAATTATTTTGATATTTTTTTTTTGCTTGAAGTGGGTAGAATAAAAAAAAACGCTTGCCAAGTCAGGGATCGGCATGTAAACTTTCTTGATTTTTATGTTTTATAAATTTATTAACTGATATCACACCCAATCGTGAATCTAACAAGACCCCAAACAACAAAATCCGTTCTCCAATTTCGGAAATCTACCTTGCTAAATGAAAATCTAGAGAAAAATAACTTTTTTATCTGTGAAAAATTAAATAATTTTTTTTTTAAAAAGTCCACATTTAGTATTTGCTTGATAATCCCTTTCTTGATGAGTTATCAACCAAATTCATAACTATCATAGTATAGGAGAAAAGCTAAAAAATAGACATTTTGGGACGGTTCACTTCGACGTTTTTATGGGTTCAAGTGGTTATACCGCTTGGGTGTGATATCAAATCTCTCTCATTAATATTTTATATTAAAGCTAGGTAAATTACCCACTTACTCATCATTACTGAGTTTCATTTTTACTATTTTCCTATTTAACACAAATTCTTGAAGTTTTCGAAATTCAGACTTTTTTCATTTCAATTACCATACTTACTTGATTAAAAATCAAGAAAGTAATATTTGTACATATTATAATTAAATTGAATAAAACGTATAGGTACTAAATAAGACGCAATATTTTCTTTAACTACAAAAGAAAATAATATTTAAATTACTTATTTTAAATTTAGTTTCAGTACGAAGTTTATTCGTTTATTCGTTTATTCGAAGTTTATTAAGAATATTATTATTTATGTATCTATTGAACGAACAGTATGGTATTATAATATGGTTTTAAAAATGTGATGAAAGACACTTCTAGTGTCACTATAATAATATCACGTATAATTATGATCACCGTGAAGATTTAAATACGTTTTGGGACCACTGGTCTAGATGAGCTGAAAAGATAATTTTTTTTCTACTAACCAATCAGGGATCAGTATATAATATCTGACTTAATAAATAAATTAAAAAAGTATACTACTCTTTATAATTATCGTCATAATAATAATATTATAGTCGCGCCAGCGTTTGATTACCCCGGACAACTTCACTCTGCCGATTCAACGGTTTGGCCAACCGAGCCAACGGCTTAGCAAGGCTGTCAATCCTCGAAGATAGCCGATTACCTGCACCAGTGTGTGGACCTGATGTCATTTTAGCAAACTCCATGTGGTCCTTGGAAATTTCGTTCAAAGGTGATGGAGACTTACTCAGAACGTGTGGTGCGACAATTAGTGTGTCCTCACTCTTCAGCATAGGAGACACGAAGTCACGAACCTTCTCTCCGATAGTACTATGAAGGTTGTCGAAAGTCTTGCTCGGTCATGTGCCGGAACTTTTGTCTCGGTGAAATCACAATATTTTTTCGATTTTAAATATCCACCAAAATAAACGAGTTTAGATTATGATATATTTTATGATTGTAAAATAATATAATATTATATAGATGATATTATCTATGAAATGTAAGAGCAGTTCATTTTAATCGTTACTTATTATAATATAATATTACTTTATTGATATAATATTCTGTTTTATCGTTTTTCCGGTTGCTCGGAATTGTAGCTATGGTGCACAACTGTTTTATTATTATTATTATTATTTTTATCTGACGTTGCGGAAGATAATATTATTATAACCACAACCAAATGACTCGCTATAATACTGCAGCTGTAACAGTAGGGCGTATTCATAGCCAATCATCATGAGTACATATTAAACTCACATATACACTAATAGTTAAGTGGGTTGTCTTTGCTCGACATTACGGCCAACTGGAAACAAAATATGTTTATAATCTATTTCCTTAAATTTAAATGTTATACATCAATATATTGTAATATGGTTTGTATTATGTAACAATAATGTACAAATAATGTGTAGTAGTAAATCAGTACATCGTAGACATCACGAAAAATTGCAAGTTATTTTGAAGTTGAAAATGTATAAACGTTAATTTTTATACTGTTAAGGCTTGACAATTTAATATACAATGTTCCCCATAAGTGGTTTATACTGGAACAAAAAAATCTAAAAAATATATAGGCACATATTTTTTTAAAATATATTAAATACATTTACAATGAGCGTTCAAATTTAGATGAAATTAGATACTTAAAAGTAGAATAACAGTGTTTTGGTTATTTTATTGTAATTCGTAAATAGTATTCATGTTCCAGACTCAAAAGTTGAAACTTTTACGTCTCTATGATATTAATTTATTATATTGTATAAAGACAATGGGGCGTTCAAAACATTTAGACCGATTTTTAAAATTGATTTAAAAATTAATATTTTATTTAAATCAAAAATATCACACAAATATAATACTAAGAATATTTATCTAAATACATACTCTTTATTTTAGGTCTTTAATTAATAGAATTTTTTCAAAAATGTAATCCAACCCACCTATAACTTTTATAGTTTTATTTAAAAGCAATGTGTAATAATATTATATTATGTTATCATAAAATATTCTCGGTAATATAGACGGACACTTCGCTCAGAATCATATTTTTATTTTTGGGTACAATGATTTATCATTTAATACAAATTTAACTCTCACATTACAGTGAATTGATCATTTGCTATTGGTCAGGTAAACTTGACACCCACTGAACCGCATACTGAATTTTTTCGCTTGTTTTTACAGATTTTGTATGCATTTATTGTTGGTATAGCTTAGTTGTTAGTTGTATTCGCCCTGGTACTATATCGGCAATTTATTTTATATTTCAATGCATTTTCAATTACCTACTCCAGATTCTACAGTTTCTCCATATAGGTATTCGGATATTCCGCCTACTACTAATATACTATAGGTAGGTACTAGGTGCATTGCCATCCTTAGGATTTTCGAGGCCCAGGGCGAAAATCAATTTTTAAACCAATTTTATCACTTTTTTCAAACGCTAGGCCTCCAAATGTAAGTGCTCACCCCCCTTAAGGACGGCCCTGACGAGGTTTTCCTGTCCCTTTGACTTCAACATCCCTTTGACTTCATCATTTGGAACTTTTTTCCAAATGTAAGTGCTCACCCCCCTTAAGGACGGCCCTGACGAGGTTTTCCTGTCCCTTTGACTTCAACATCTCCATCTGTCTCTGAAACTTGAACTGAATTTGAATTGTAAGCACTAACTGTAAACTAAATATTCTTCTGCTTGAAGAGTTCATAATACATTTTATCAAATAATACCACAATTTTACCACAAATCACCAATCCCATTTCATTATAATCCAAACATTGTTTCATATGACGATCGATTTATTCCTACAAAATATTATTATAATTTAATTTAATTATTCAATACTAAATATTTAAAACACATTTATTAGGTAATAGTAGTTATAAATTATTTATAATTTTTTTTTTTTATTAACAAATAGTATATTATTATAAATTATAATAATTGATTTTGTTAAATGTTGTATAATTAATTTTAATTGCAAAATCAGTTAATACTTTTTTCCCCACTGTACACAACCGAGGGTATGAAAAAAAACACGTATCATTCGGACCTATAATAAAGAAACTGTAATATAAATAAGTTATATGAAAGAAAATTTTAGGAAAATCCACCGGAAAAGTAGGAAATCTGGATGTCAAAAATACAACAGTGGCGCCAGCTGTCCAGCAAAAAAATAAACTGAATAATAATATATTTTTGTTTATTCTAAGGTTGCTATTGGTTATGATTGAATATAATTGTAGACATGTATAAATTATTATATATTTGGGTCAAAACCATATAACTTAGTAAAAATGGTATTCCTAACACTAGTTTTTTGACTGTTGTCTCGGGAACATATACATGCATATCATAAACGACATGGTAATAATATATTTGTAATTACGTATGCTCCTTGAGAGGTCTGCAGTCCACTGCAGGTGGATTGCCTACCTGAAAATTTACTGTTGACATAATTACAAGCGTGTCTCACGGGCAACGACCGTCGGGATGGCTGTAATATAATATAATCGAAAGTTTCACTGACTGATCAACGTAAAGTAAAAATAATGATATCTTGAGGTTTGCAATTTTCATGGTACTTTTGTATTGTACCACCATGTAAGTGTGCCCTAAGAAAGCGTCTTCCAAAATTCACATTTTATAATGTGGTACTTGTACAGATATTTTGAGATTCAAGATGATCGATGAACATTTTTAAGTTTTGAACACCATACACTGATTATCAAATAACGAATTGAATAAAGTTTGAGTCATATATAGAGTCGGTAAATTTAACTGGCAACAAAGTGCACGGGATCATCTAGTACTAGAATAAAAACCTAACCACTAACCTATAGCTCTTAACCATGGAATTCGTACTTTTACCGTAACATACCAAATAATATAGTATATTAAATATATTTATTTATATCATAGGTAGTAAAATATGAATACCGTAGTGGTGGTCCACACCATTACAATAACATTGTTCATTTGTTATCTCATATTCCGGAGCAGAATATTTTTCTAAAAATATTTGAATTATGAATATTCATTATATTTTACATACAATTCGGACTTCCGACGAGTACCTATAGTGGATAAGTTGTTACAAGGGAACCACCGTTAAACGGTGGTCCGCGACTTCAATCGACTAAACTTTGAATAGGTACCTACCAGCTAGGTACTCATAACGGTGAGTAATAACTGATCAACCACTAAACCGTCTAAACCACTCGTTCGACTTTTGATAGTATTTATTATAAATTATAATAAATACTAATAATTTATAATTCATATTATATAGTCGAAGTTCTATCACATGTTATAAAGTATATAAAGATTACCGACACGGAATAACGACGGCAACTGCTCGGCAATCATCTCGAAGCATATAATATAATTTTATATATTATACTGTCTTATTGAGTCGTCGCAATTTTTCGGCAAACGAGACTATCGTCGTGTAGTATACGTCGTACCTACGTTGTACACGTATTGTACCCATACATTTACAGCACCTGTACACACACATATACACACATACACGCACAGGTATCCTGGCAGATAATTTTGTCCTCTGAGTTTTTTTATAACCCACAACAGCGTGTACGACATGCGCTTCGGATTGTTCTTATATTATATCGTGTGTATGTATAATTTACACACACACACACACACACACACACACACACACACACACACACACACACACACACACACTCGAGACCGCGTATTTTATGTGCATAATGTATGTACATAAGATCCATTAGATTTTTAACAAGCAAATAGGTGTGTATCAGTGAGACCCGATCGCGTCTGCTCGCGGATATAATATTTATGTTGTTGTTTTTTGCGCCCGGTATCGTCTGCGCATCGCTCGGCCATCCTCTCTGGGACGCGAATACACAGCGCGGCCGACACGGGCGTCGTCAAAACGGACAATAAACGTAAACGCGTACTATATATATATATTATCAAATAATACGCATAGGTACCTATATATATATGTGTGTGTGTGTGTGTGTGTATTATGTATGCATATTATGTTTTTAGCAGGTTTATTATGATAATAACCCGCGCGACGCCGAATCTCGACTATTTATCGCCACGGGCTCGACGACGGTTCCAAAAACAAAAACATAATATTATATGCCACAGAAATTAAAATATTAAATACAATACTTTTCATTGATATAATATATATATCACTTTGACACTCTCGGTGTATGTTTGCAAGTGGTTACATTAATGCTCGCATTAAAAATAAATTAGATAACATGCTCTGTTGTATACGGTAGGTATCGAGTAAACCTCGTCAACGAGTACCTAAGTTACTGTAATGTATGTATTAAATTTTATTGCAACGATGAACCATAATTGCATACGAAATACAATTCTGAGTAAAGACGTGGTCTGTCAGTCCATAATATTACTAACTATATTTTCTAATATATATATTTTTTTTTTTTATTTGATAACCCGCGGCAACATAGGCCATTGGGTGTAGGGATAGAATTGTGAGTTTTTATATTGGTTAGGTTGGTACACGTGTGTGTGTTTTGGAAGAATTTCTAATGGAGCACCCGTAGGTTTCTGCCATGTCCGGGGTGGAAGGTGGCGGCACTTGTTCTCCGGACAACGTGACTTGCCCGAAGAAAAATGCCACCCGCGGCCGATATCGAACCCGGGCCGGCTGCTTCGCAGCTGACGCCTTGGTCCGCTCGGCCACTCCGTCCCCTTATAATATATTTATATTGTTGTTAAAGTAATTCATGTTACTATATAGTATTAGCAATACGA